TTTATCGTTTATATTATCGTAGATCATTTCTTTGATACTACTGAAGCCAGTAGGATACTATCAGTGGCTTCTTTGTCGACTAACAAGACTTTAAAATCAAAAAAATCCTACATGAACTTGAATAAACCGCTTGTTTTTGTATTAATTAAGTTTGCCTGTTTTTCATTGAACAATTTAAGTTATTATCAATAAAACACAGTGGATTGAGATTATTGAGTAGTTGGAGCTATGTAACGATGAAGAGGCGAACTAGCTGTGGAGGTCCACAACAGTTCACCTAATCACCGCTAGGTGTAGCTGTCGTACTTCTCGTAACAGTTCGCCTCTTCACCGCTAGATCTCAGCCAAACACATCTCAATCCACTGTGTTATGTTTTATTTATTTAATCAACCATTTTAATAGTTAAATGCAAACAGGAGTGGTTAACTAATTCAATAACAAGCTGTTTATTCAACATCATGTACGCTTTTCGATTTAAAGTCGTGTTAGTCGACTAAGACGTCTTTGTGTCTTTTGGTTCCCGCAGTGAAAATCAAGTATCTAACACACAAATGCTCTAACTCTTCTGCAACACTATCACTCAGCAATAGCCGAGAAGTATGTGCTCCTAGTGAGCAGGAACTTCGAGAGAAGTGGTGCTAAGCGCTAGGTGCTTGATGCAAGTCGCCACAGTCATTCAGACTTGGATTTGACTCAAAATTCAGCACAGCCTAAAGCACTGCTCTCTATCGGGCTAAGATATTTGTGTGAAGGCTGTTACTCGCCCCCTCACCAGGGGTCGAGGAGTGGCCAGTAAACTTATTAATCCTCGATGTACCTTAATTACATCATTCTCGTATTTTCGTCCGTCACCTAATCACCTAATCCTCCAACTATGGTATTACATTGACATTCGTTACTTGTGTTCAAATGATCCCATTATTTCAGATTAATTTACAGGTTGAAAGTCTTAATGGACGATTATCACTTTTATTTTAACGCTATTTCTTTGTTATGTGAATGTGACTATTATGAGGTAAATGCATGTACGCCTGTTATATTCTTAATACTAGGTATAGAAATTGTTATTTTTTACTAATCTTATGTTAACTATTTAACTCCACAAATTCTTTAGATCTAATAAATTACTTAGGTTTGTTTGTTTCTTTCTTTCATCGATTCATGATCTGTTTGAAGCACATCATGGTATGTTGAAATGGTTAAACATTGATAACCATTTCAAAATAAAATTTTAAATCCTAATCGTACAAGATTGTTGTTATAAACTTTAAGTTATTTGAGTGGCCTATTTATTAATTTTACAATCAACATTGCATTTTGTTTAGTTAATAAATATAAAATTTTCGAGCAAAAAGTGTACACCGGATCAGCACTGTATATAGCATTTATTCGTATAATTTACTATTCCAGCCTCGAAATTCCCTCCTTGCCCCTAAAGTTACCTATTTCCCCCAACTATTTTCCAAATACAAAGCATTAATCCTGGCTACGTTTAGTGTATGTCATAGGCAACCAAATAATAGGTAAAATAAATAAATATCTTAAAGTAAACTCCCATTGATGATGATTTAAAAGTTATTGTTCTTTTAAAACAACAACCATTATAACCAGTTTTTCAGGGAATTTCCCTATAACGAAATGATTAAATAAATAATATGGCTAAATATCCTTTAAGTAGGCTACATGAACGTGTTTTAATGTTGGATTTGATTTTATATAGCCAACGATGGCAGTATAAGTACTCTTATAGTAAGTTAACATTAAATCAAAGGTCAAAGTTCCACAAGTTGATGACAAATTGGGTCGGTCCCGGGCTTGTTACCGGCGCAATTAAATGGTTCGTAATCTAGATTACTACATTTCATCATAGGTGCAACAAAGGTGATACAAATTCCCTAACAATCAAATAAACTACCATTTATTAACAAAATCTTCATAAATAATGCACGTTTAACTCTTAAAACCACCCATCACAGCAAACCTGCAGACTAAGCGAATTTACGCTTGTCTGATTTTATTTTCACTTAAAACTACTGAAATAACATTAGGTCAAATAACGGTCGGTTTAACACCGCTAAAAGTAACCATGTAATAGAAGATCCTCCAACCAGCTCTATCAGTAGTAGTTCCTAAAACATTCTCTCTGTTCCTCTTGATTTGTTGTTATCTGTTAAATGTTATTAGAGCCATTTATTGTCGTTGTTGCTTATTATTTGTTATTGTTGTTATGTTAAACTTCAATTATTATTGTCTTTTTCTATTTACTGTTAAACAATTTTTGTAAACTGGCATGTATCGTTGGAAGAATAAGAGTAAATAAATATATTAGTATGCTCTGGAACTAGTATTTGTACAATGTTACTAAACAATACCCCCGCCGCAGCAAACCTGCCGACTGAGCGAATTTCCAGTTGCCTGAATCGATTTTCAATTAAATGTATTTAATTTACATTAATTTTTAAGAATACATAGGCTTGCTGCTACAGGGAGGGTAAAAAGTGTGTTTTTAGTGAAATATTAATAACTTAGTATAAAATAAATAAATTTACCAAGTTTGATCAAAATATATCCATACACAAGCAGACTACAACATTTTACAATATTCCCCATAATAATAACATGCGAATTTTAAAATAACAATTAATTGAAATTTATCCTAGACTAATAATAGTACAAAAACACTTTGATATACTAAATTAATTTTTTTTACGCTCTTTAAGAAGGTCTGAAGAGAAATTGGGAAATTTTGCGTTTAGAGGGTCAAAAATTAAAAAAAAAAACCAATTTCGCTAATATACTAAAATAATCTTTGCTCAGGGAATCATTTATTAGTATACATAACTCTGGGAGCAGTCTTGCAATTGTAATTGACTTTATTTATGTAAGCAACAGTTACGATTTTTGTGTATGTTATGCATTTTGTTGTATCCATTAAAAAAAATAGTAAATGATGTAAGAGAAACTGCTACTAACGTTGAGGAAAATTAAATAAAAACATAGTTAAATAATCATTTATTAATATGTAACACTGTAATACCTTGACTCAATGTATACATTGCAATGATGAAAAGATGTTAATGAAATAGAGTATAAATTTTGTTATATCATTAAAATCGTTTCCCCATACTTATTACCTTAACAACTTTAAAAAAATTAGTAAACTAGTGAATACAATGAATACAATGAATACAATGAATTTATTTGGCCAATCAACAACAACATTGTTACAGGCTATGTCTATGTTACATAAAATAAAATAAATATCTAAAAATCAAACCAAGCAAAAAACGATCAAAACCAACCATGTGAAAAAAATATGTTCAAGACCATGCACAAAAAGATACAAAGCAAACAAATGCAGTTCATGCAAAATGCATGCACTATGCAAAAACAGCAAACAGGCTGTTCAGAGGAAAACTTAACTAAATACAGTTTCAAAAAACTCTTTGAATTTGAAAAAAGGATTTTCAATCAGCCAATCAAATATTGCGGTTTGGAAGTTCTTTCTTTCCAGATTTCTCACATGACCAGGAAGGTGATTAAACAGTTTTATTCCTGAAACAGGATATGACCTAGCTCTTTTATCAGTCCTGGACCGAGGAATGACAAGCTTAGAACTAAACCTAGTGTCATGATTGTGCACTGAACTGGTTACATGTAAATCATTCATGCTGTTCTTAATACTAACAAGGCATTGGAATATATACATATTTACAACTGTCAGAATTCTTTGTCTCTTAAACAAGGGCTTACTGTGTTCTTTATAGTGAGCATGACAGAAGAATCCTTACTGCCTTCTTTTGGAGTCGCAGGATCTTTTCGACATTGGGTAGTATACTGTAATGCCCACGGGTAGTGACTGGTGGCGCTGCCAGTTGCTCCAATGTGAACAGTCCGATAAGAAACCATGGTGTGACGTGGTGGCGCCACCAGACTGGTGTCTTTGAAAATCCGAAAATCGCAACCCCGAGCCACCACATTTCTGGTCGCGCGGCCAGACGCGCCACCAAAGCTCAGTGTGAAGATGTCCCATTTAAATCAATGCTAATGTAACGTAGCCACCATATTGTGTCACCATCGGTGTCACCACCATGGTGGCCCAGTGTGAAGGGGGCCTTATGGGACGTCTGTTACTGAACAACACCACTTGTGATGTTGCCATGTTGCCAATTCTACCAGGCCGCGGCCTGTAGACAGGCGGCCGTGCTTTTAATGCTCCTAACTAACTTTGGAGGAAAAGACCTAAAATTGACATTTTAGCAATTAATTTTGTACGCCTATGGATCTATTTAAGATTTTTATACTCTTATTGCAGTTCGCAGTCGTTGCTTTGCGGTATTTACTCAGGGGAGGTATAGAAGAGGCTACGATGACAGCTGAGGGCTTCTTATTAGCTGAGGGAACGCCATTACCGTAACAAAACATTCGGTAGCCATCGGCCTCGGTGGTCTAATGGTTAGCGTGCCGGGCTAGTATACTGTAGGTCCCGGGTTCGAATCCCGCTAGTAGCATTAACTTTTTGTCCAAGATTTTTTTTATTATCAGCAAGTTTGGTTGGTTTGGTTTGGTTATTACAGTTTAATTTTATTATTAAGTCATTACAAAATTTTAATTGAGCAATTTCTAGTTTTATTTAATAAACAGAATTATTTTTCCGATTACTAAACTTTTGTTATATTATTTCTTTATCAGCAAATTTGGTTAGTTCGGTTAGGTTATGATAGTTTAATTTTATAATTAAAAATAGTAAAATTGAATTTGAGGCATTTATAATTTTATTTTATGAACAGAACTATTTTTGCGATTAGTAAACCTTTATTGCCAAAGTGCTCTCTACTACAGCGCTGTTCACGGAGGAATTTTGAACTAAATGCCTCATTTATACCTCCCCTAAGTCAGACCCGTTGCTTTGCTACTCCATGTACTATTTTGGCTGGCCTTCCCGCACTTTTGAATATCGCTATCGCTGTAACCACAGAAAGAGAAAACGTACTACTATAACTAAACTAACTAGCCCACTTGACTAAAGAAACTGGAACTGGGCTAGAAGTATTGGCATCGTTCTACAGATACAGACTTCGTTGTTCTGTTGTTCAGTTGCTTCAGGACAGATCCTTAAGGTAATGATTAGTGTTCTCGTTCTCTTTTTAGTAATGTCTACTTTATGAAATTGCTTCCTCCAATCTTGGCTCTATAATTACACCAGAGCACGTTGTTACCAGGTTACTTTGGCTTAAAGGTACTCTTATTTAGATCCTGTCATTTTTTCAATCTGGCTTTCTCTCTCTTGATGTAGGCTAAGGCCTAATTTGATGTCAGTCCCGAGTAACGAGTAACTCTCCGTAGGCCTAACTTACAATTTTTCTTCCAGTTAAGTACTCAGCCCTTAGGCCTAGGCTGTAGCCCTACGGTTTCAATGAATGGTTAATGACCTAGGCCTGATCATATTATTGTTTGATGCTGGTTAACGTGGGCTGCTTGTGGTATAATTTGACATGACTCATGGCAGGTTGAAAGTCTTCAATTCTGAGTTCTAGGCTAGAATGATAGGCTCACTGTAGGCCTAGCTTAAGTTACTAAGGCTAGGTCTACTCATTGTGACTATATATGGGCCTATTCCTGAGTATTAAGTGTTAAAGTAGCTAGCCTATGTTGAAAAGTATCGGAACTGGTAGTGGGGTATAAATAGCCTTTAGTTAGGCCTACATGATAGGCGTGAAACTGGCAATAGACCAGAAATAACCCCTCCCACTTCTCCTACCGCCCCTCTGACAAAGATACGGCACAGTAAAACTTAACAATAATGGCGTCATAATGCAGATGACATATCCTCCAAAATATCAAGTGGCAAGAACTTTTTTTTCTCCGGAACACGGCCCAAATGGCGTTTAGTAGTTCCCGCCAACTGTCGAGTACCGGTATGGAAAGTGTCTAAAATATATGTAAGCTAAGTTATAAAACTGCATTTATTGCTGAATGGAAATTAATGACTGTTTCGATGCAGTTGTAAACTAAGTAAACACATAGGCCTAGGCCTATAGCTTATTCTAGAACTAAGAGTACCGGTACCTAAGTTATAATTATACCCTCGTATTGCTAGTTAGGCCTAGTTGAAATATGTAAGAACGTTAACATAATAAGTTGTTCTATTGCTGGCCTACCCCTTTAGCATTATCTAATTTTTTTCCGTTAAAACACTTTAATTAGCTAGGCCTATATTGTTATGAACTAGAAATAACATCGTATTTGTACGCTCCCTTCCTTACAATTGAGATATATCACCTTGAATGGCGTTGGTGTGACCTCGGTTTCATAAAAACTCAACTTAACTTATCACATATTGAATTTTTTTACTCAAGCATGGCCCATTAATCGTTTTCTGCCCTTACGGATCTCTCGTGCCAACCGTTGATCCGACCAGACCCGAAGATATGGAGCTTCCGGACCCGTAGACCTCTAGGTACATATAAGTCACACTTGGGGTCTAAGAATCAAGACCAGGAAACCCAGGTTTTTCTGTCAGGAAATCTGGAAAAAATAGCCAATTTTGTCTAGGAGTTATGACCAAAACTACCGATTTTTTTCAGATTGTGAAGTCAAACATAACAGTTGAAAAATTCAATTAGGCTATGACAGTGACCACAGTAGCAAGTATTCAAATTTTCCCAACAAAGCAAGAACAAATAAATTGTAAAAGCAAATTTATATTTAAAAAAAATTAAAAGCTAATATTTTAGATTAACATTTTAATCATTTTTCTCAAGTACTCATAAGACCACCTTTTTTACTGAGGTTTATTCCGTCATAGACTAACCAACACAAGTAGACTTCTCATCCCATTGTATATTTTGAAGCACGTTTTTCGTATCTAGTTCTAGACGTGACACATGGGCGCTAGTGTCGACGAAACTTTGTTTCTATTATTTTAGGGTTAATTTCTTGATTTGTGCTTTACTGTTTGGTTATATAACTAGGGGACAGGTTATTGTTTATGATTAGATCGTATTATTTGGTTAAACGAGGTTTTAAATGGCTGTAATAAGGGGAAACAAATTGTAAACAAAACACGACCTCTACATAAACCGTACAGAACTAACGATAAAATTGTCTTCAGCTGTTCCATAAGGATGAGGAATTTACTAAGGGAGTATGTTTTATCTATGATTCCGTACCCCAACCCCCGGCCACCCCCTATAGACCCCAGGCCACCCTCTGGACACCCATGTTAAGTTAAACATTTAGGCCCAGCGCATATTGAGACGCAGCACAGGGCAGGGCACTTTTTTTGTTACCACGTATTTGCTAGGGTTAGCGCATCACAGGGCAGAACATTACAGTCCTGAAAGTGGACTGTGCGCACTTGTGGCCGAGACACAAGTGCCTGTGTCGCATTGTTCGCCTGCCGTGTAGACTAGTGTTGTGCAATGGATTTAGAGAAGTTAAAAGAAATGGTACGTTTTTATCTAGTTTTGTTCATTACCAGTCATAGTAAACAAATATATAAAGAGTAATTACAAGAATTAAATCTGGGAGAAATGCAAAAAGAACTAAACATTGCAGATATTTCCGCTTTTTTCTTTCTTTTTCTCTGGTGAAGCAGTAACAATTAATCTAGATCAGCATCTGAATCTGACTCAGAACTTAAATTCTAATATTTAACAACAAGCTCACACTATAAACTGTATCACTCAGATACAAGAACTGTACGGACACTGCTTCCAATCTGCGATGTTACTGTGCGAGGCTGACTTTTTACCCAATAATGCTGCCCTGTGCTCTGCTGCACCGCCCGGACCGCCCAATGCCGTAGTGTTCGGTGCCGCACAGCTCAATATGCGCCTGGGCTTAGCAATTACCAACTGAGTTGGCTTATGAATAAGAAAAAAAGTAAATTCACTATTAAGTTTTGGTTTGTTTGGGGGTCCTAAAAAAGTACCATAACTTATCTTTGTGATTAATGTTTCAGATACCAAACATGGTCAGAACAAGGGATGCGGCTGGTGTTAAAGGTAAAACTGTATATTATACGTGACCATGTATCATTAGGTTCATTGGGCAGAAATTGGAGAAAACCTTCGGGAATTTCATCACACCTTGAAAAATCCTGGAAAACTCCAGGAATTAACCAAAACCTCCAGGAATCCGGAACCTGGTCATCGGACTCGTGAGTTAACTGAAAGACTACCGCTGCTGTTCTCACGAGCACGGGAAACGATTATCGGTGTGGCCGAAACCGCAAAATATGTTCACGGGTATTGCCGAGATTGCGGGAAGCGATTATCAGTGTTGCCGAAACCGAAAAATATGTTCACAGGTATAGCCGCGATTGCGAGAAACGATTATCGGTGTCGCCAAAACCGCAAAATATGTTCACGGGTATTGTCGCGATCGCGGGAAACAATTATCGGAATTGCTGAAACCGAAAAAATGCTCACCGTTATTGCTGCGATCACGGGAGACGATAACTGGAATCGCCTTATTGTTATTAATGTTATAGTGCTTAACTTACCAGTTATTGGAAAAATAAATACGCTAACACAATTTCTAACATTAGTTAAATCATTGTGTATACACATATAATCACCGCATCAAGTAAGACCACATCAAATTCTTGGGATTAGAAATTGATGAAAATTTGAAGTGGAATCATCATATTGATCAGTTACTTTCTAAAATTTCATCTTGCCTTTATGCGCTAACAAGATTAAAACCCCTATGTGAAAAGGAAACTTTAAAATTATATATTTTGTGTACATACATTCAATCATATCATTTGGAGTTTCACTTTATGGTGCAGCAAAAAAGAAAAAAATTAAAATCAATTCTAAAAAAGCAAAAGAAAGCTATTAGAATTTTGTGCGATTTAAAACGCAGAACTTCAGTCAAAGAATATTTTAAAACTGAGAATATTATGACTGTTTATGGAATGTATGTCTATGAAACAGTATTATCAGTAAAAGAACTTACTATACTTACTTTATTTAATGAATTACAACTTATTGGAGACTATCACAATTACTTCACTAGAAATCGAGAAAACCTGGCCACAAGCTCACATACTCTGCAACTTTTTACGAAGACACCTAAATATGCCGGTTCCAAATTTTATAATAAACTTCCTAAAGAAATTAAATTAGAAACTTCCAAAAATAAATTTAAATTAAAATTGAAAAAGTTTCTTATCAACAAGGCTATGTACTCCTTTGAAGAGTTTTAGTTCTATAAGTTATTAATTGCTCTGTTTCATATCAATTGAAACTTTTGGTTTTAAAATAATTTTATCTATATTTTTAATTTTGATATTTTCATGTATAAACTTTCATATTGCACTGATTGTTTTAATTTATTTGATCTGAAAAGCTATTAATATTGATGGTATGTTGTTATGCCATGCATGATAATGACGAGTATTTTAGTTAGTTAGTTTTATTAAATTTCTCTTGACGCCATTCCTGTATCTATGTATTGTATTTAAATGAATAAAGTTATATGAAATGAAATGAAATAAGAGTCATCAGATAATGCTATTAGTTGTTACCGATTTTGGCGTCGTAGTTCGGGCCGCTGACGCTTGGGTCGCGGTAGTCTGTCGGTAGGGCAGTGAGGACCTTTTAATCATTTAGTATTAAAAATGTATTAGAAAACAATAAAACTAGAAACAAACAAACAAACAAATTTCATCAACAAAAGTGACATCCTACAACCTAAAATGGAAGCAATAATAAAGAACACTTTAACTGCCTTATTGACATGTCCAAGGTAGAGTAGTTCGGGCCGCTGACGCTACCCTGCAACAGCGCTGTTCAGGTAACGATAACCTTCAATGAGTGGCTACTCTAGTACGTGTATACTCAATGGTTAAATGCATAATGTAATACAAATGATTTATATTTTAAAAACCTTTAAAAGTTTGAGTTAATATAAAATAGCGTGACAAAGCTTAAAGTAGGATTCCGATAGTAGTTCTTAAAATTCAGGAATTTGTCTTGAATTGTAGGCCTACTGGAAAATTTTAATTTTTCAAACCAGATTTAGTAGACACCTGTATATGTTTTTAGAACACTTTTAGAGGACCAAAAGACTATGAGTATGGTTGTTTCCCGGACAGACGTTTCAGTGTCCACAGGTAGCACTTAGGAATCTATAGATAGGCCCATCAATTCTATGGGGGGATTACTATTTGGACTGGACTTCAGTTTTACTTTTAAAAGCAATTTTAACTAACTAACTTCTGGTTGAACTGCTGGTGTCTTGGCTAAGACTGAAAATTGTGGGGTACAATGCCTTAATTAGGCCGATTATAAATATTGAAAATGTGCAAAATGTTTGACTTTTAATGTTTATATAAAAATTGAAATTTTCATTCTTGTAAACTAATTGAGTTGCATGTTTTTTTCCAGTTGCGGGAGCCAAAGCTTCCCGTAAAGGCCCACCCCCTGCCCCGGTAACCCCATCTTCTGCTGATACAAACTCTGCAAGTATGTTTTATTTTGTAGATAAACTATTTCAAATTACCGGTAGTGAGAAATCATTTTGACTTGGATTGAACTCTATTGCACTGTAAGAACAGTTTAAACTTTAGGTAGGCCTATGGATCTAGATTCATACCTACTGACTGTACTGTTTAACTTTGGCTGCAGTAAACAATTAACTTAGGCCTATGTACTAAACTGCATGAAACAATAAAATTGGGTTTATACCTGCCTTATCCTTAGCAATAGAAACATTACTTAGGCCTACATTTACTTGTAACACAGTTGTTTTTCACGCCCTTGTTAAGATTTGAAGAGTGTTGTTGGTTAAAAAAAAAGTAAATAAACAGTATTGGCAAACATTCTCCCATTGCCTTGTCAAAAACTCTTAGACCCCACTCTTAACCGACCGTAACGGGACCAGACCTAGGTTGAATAACTCAAAAGGTCAATTAAAACAGGCAATCCCTAAAAACTAAAAAAATGAAGTGCTATTAATTCGAAATTATATTAATTATTCTGTTAAAGTTGTGCATGCATTTTTTACATAATAAACTACACATCTCCACTTTACTTAAGTACTGGCGATCGAAAAGTCACAAATACCCCCGGTGCAGTAAACCTGCAGACTAAGATAATTTCCATTTGCCTGATTTTATTTTCACAAATCTAAGTTATTTAAATAGGTAACATTAAACTGGCCGTAGGTTTGCTAAACTATAGGTTTGCTGCTTCAGGATGTTTAATAAAGTGTACGTTTTTAAGTGAAAGCTATTTATAATAGCTTAGTTTAAGATGAATAAATTTGCCAAGTTTGATCAATATACTTATATCTATCCATAAACAAGTAAGCGTAAACACAAAACAGTTTTTTCCTTTTATAACTCGGTAAGAATTGTTTACCAGATAAGCTGGGAGTTGTCAGGCCGGACATTGATAGAACACAGTTGTAGTGGTCCGCTATCATTACTTGAATGATATCTGAATGGACCATGGCCTTCCTTGACCCCTAAGCACTCTTTCACAGCTGGTGCAGTGCGGGCCCGTCCCGTACCTTTCACACTAGCTGCCGGGATCCGGGCGTTTTCAAACTGAAACTTTCTGACTTTTGGGTGTATTTGATTGAAATGAATAAAAGAAATGTGGTTATGTATACTTGTTGTATCCAAAAATAAAGTAGCCTACAGTGCTCCCGTGCTAAATAAGTTTATTTGTATCCAAGCCATGTGTGTAAAAATAAAAATGCCAAATCTGGGACCATTTTTTGTTTTGATGGCTCCAGAGAAGAAAAAATTAATTCTGTAGTTAAAATTTTGATATATGTAAATTGTATGCATAATTTGTATGAGGGTTTAGCTAAAACACTTCATTACCTTCCATATAGAACAACATTTAATTGGTCGTTAAACCAAATGTTTTTATATGAAATAAATAAGGCTTGTTTTATTAAATCTTTAGTAAAAATGTAATCATGAAATGGAAGATGGTTTGCTGCAGCGAGGATACTGTCCTACATCACTGTCATAAAAAAAAATATATATATAATGCTTAAACAAACTAATCAAGTGCTCGATATAAATGGATTCCTCTATATCGAAAACAACAAACTTCCTTATCAATAGACATGGTTTAGCCCCTGAGCTGAATTGATGACTATAATATAATTGTACAATTACCTCGTCACAGCTCCGTAGTTTCCGTATATATTACGGCCGTTTCGGCATCAAAATGCCATCCTCAGATACATACATCCACCGGATTTGGCGTTGTCAAACTTGATACACACACGTAACACGATAACAAACATTTAAAACATAAAAAACTAAAGACAGGCCTGTCACACACATGATGAGTACGTGTACGGAAGCTGACTGGACAACTGCTAGTTCGTTCCAGCCGTTGCGGTATTATCTCTTGGACTTTGATCCCTTGGCTTGCTTCGTTTGATGATATTATTGAAAATAGTGTGAGATTTAAATTGTAGTTGGTCATTTAGTATGGATTCATTGTTGTATTTTATTTTATGGGCTTTATAAATCTCATATTCCTCAAGGGTGTCTAGTCTATTTCCATTAATACAGGCGTGCAGAATTTCTAAGCCATTGTCCAAATCAAGTAAGTCGTGATTATTGTCAACCAGGTGTTGTGCGAAAGTGAATTTTTGTTTGTCAGTTTTTCCGTTAGGGCGATGTTCTTTGTATCTAATGCTAAAGGTGTATGTATCTGAGGATGGCATTTTGATGCCGAAACGGCCGTAATATATACGGAAACTACGGAGCTGTGACGAGGTAATTGTACAATTTAACAATTATATTATAAACTTCCTTAAGCTGTACTGAAACCAGCCCGTTCCGCCCAAGTGCGATAGCATACTTATGAGCCAATGCTTAAAATCTAGCCATCCGGTCTGGTCCCGCATTGAAAGGTTCGTCCAGGTGATCTTTCAACCCAGACAGAGGTTTAAGTCTGTCCGGTAAACCCACACTGGTATGAAAGCTCCCAGATTTATTTATTTATTCATGCAACAAAACATTATAAACAAAATACATTTCATTCAAAGCTACAAAAGCCTCAGTAGGCTTGTCCGCAGCTATAGATAGAGTCCAGTTCAAAAGTCCATTCACAAACATTCCAGTCAGTTTCCATCTGGTACAAGCTATTCTCCTAATCTGTTGCACTAAATAGATAGTTTTCACATTTCATTGCCATTTTTTCAATTGTTTTGACAATCAGGAAAATTACTAATATAACAACAATTTTTAAGAGTAAATAAATATTTGGGAAAAATCAACAATGTACTACATGTAAGCAACAATCGCATGTTTTACCTAAACTATTTAATCAATATTTAACAATAACAGATGCAGATGATTCAATATTCTAAACAGCTTCGTGCTGGTGTGAAAGAGAGCTAAGTAATAATTAAGCATGTTGTCAAAGTCAAAACATTCTTTATTCAATATAGTGTACCATTACATGAACTTGAGTCATAAACTAAATTAAAAATGGCTTACAGCTAAGTAAATATATCATATTGCTGTTAGTTCTAAGCCTGTAACTCTTAACTAGCCTTTACATTTTTTGATTAAAAGAGTACTTAGTTTGCTTCATTTTTATTTCTAACAAAACTATGATTGAAGGATTATTTGGAATTTAAATTAAGTTTACAGGTTTTTTTACTAATACTTATGAAGTCTGTTACTTATACTTATACTAATACTTATGAGTAGCGAAGAGTTCTTATAAAAAGTCTTTTTTTAAGAGCTGTTTAAATCTATTATATTGTGTTCCTTTTCGGATGTGAGCTGGTAAAAACTGTAGAAATTTTAGCCCTATGTAAGATGTCAATTTAGTGTAGAATTCTAGATTATGCCGAGGTAGGTTAATTTTTAATATGATGTTATATACTAATTGTTGAAATTGTTCTGTTGAGGTGGATCTGTTTTTATTGTTTCATAAATGTAAAGACTATACACTGTTAATCTCACAACCTATCTGCTATCTTTTTTGTTAAAAACTAACTCGATTACATTCAAGCAACTGATCACTTGTTTAGTACCTCAAAAGATTCCGTACAACACCAGCTTCATCCCCAGACCGTACAAACAAAACATGCAAAAAAGTTCCTTAAAGTTCATGCATAACATGCTTTCTCCTAATTAGAATCAGTCACTTGGCTTTCTTGGAAAATATCAAAATATTTACATTATATGTTGCCTATAATATGACAAATTTATTGTTTGCAGAAAACAAATATGCTGGAGGCAACCCGTACTGTCCTCGCGAGACACCGGCTTGGCAGAAGCCAATAACCCAGTTCTTTTCTTCTGCTAACAACGGTGCATGCTCCAGCGGAGAAGGTTCTTCGTCTTCTTCATCCGCTCAACCCACTTCTGCAGAACAACCCGCTACCGCTGAACAGTCCACTTCTGCAGAACAACCCGCTTCAGCTGAACAATCTGCTTCTACAGAACAACCCGCTTCGGCTGAACAGTCCGCTTCTGCAGAACAACCCATTTCTGAAGAACCTGGCACATCTGGTAAGCTAGAAAATTTTCTTTTTAAAAAAGTGTTGTAATTTACTCTGTTTACCTTAATTTTAAATCATTGTAAGGTACCAAATTTTGAGGGGGGTAAAAACGTACTATGAATAAATGAACACCAGAACTTACCCGATTTTTAACCACAATAGCCTACTCCGAGGCCTATGTGTTGGCCATAGCTTGGGCTATGGGCCAAAGAACGTAGGCCTATTTTTATTCACAGTGAAGTACACAAACACATCCACAACTACATATTTTTCATAATAGCACTTCGTTTCACATAATAAAGTTAAACCGACCGATTTTACAGATATTTAACGCCGCCGACGACATAACCCCAAACTGGTGTTTATTTGTTTGACCAACGACAGACGACAACTAGACCGGCTCAACAGGTGAATTTCCGATCAGCTGTTGGCTAGTTCTCGAACTCACCACCAGAGCGATTAAGCCTCGACCGAGGAAATCGTGATTTGAGCCGGACAAGATTATTCGCTGTTCGACCGTCGACTCGTTAACGAGAAGCCTCTTCGCACAACGAAACTAACTTCGTCATACGATATCGATTCAGGTTAGCTACGTTTTCAGACTTTCCTACTTTCTTTTAAATATTCTTTTTCCAACATACGCATACTCGTCTGCCATTTATTTTATCCGTTTACGTTCGATTATAATTTTCTAAATTTTATTAACTTAGTTCTTGCCGACTCGTACAAAACCCGCCAGTTCCTGCCTGCCAGTGACTAGCGGTGGATATTTTTCGGCACTTTTAAACCAATTGGCTATTAAATTACGTTAATTCGGTTCGTTTCACGATTAAATTATTACTTAAGTTACTCCAGTTAATTCGACGTTTTAATACCCCGAGACTTGTCGTCTAAGTTCTAAACCCCGTCTTTGGCGGGTGAAAGAACCAAGTCTTGGGAGCGGGCTGATTTGAACAATCAGCTACGTAAATTAATACTAAATTTGTTTTAAATCATCTCACGTCAAATTATCCGTCCAATTAAATTAATCAGGCCCCGACGTCTCTGTAGGGAGTGCTTTTACATTATATTCGATTTCATATTATTTACCTAGGCCTTTAGTTAAATATTTTAAAGTTCGTTACGAGTATTTATATCACATTGGCTTAAGATTGGATACTCGTCGGCCCTACAGAGTCATTCTAAAAGTTAGGCAAAATTCTCCAAAACACTTTTACGTTAGGCTGGGATGATATAGCTCCAACTGAGCGTCTGCAGGATTTCCTGAGCGCTTCTAGAGCTCTGAGCCTTCGATTAAATTGAAATAAATTGATCAGTCAAAGGCTCAGAGCTCTAGAAGCGCTCAGGAAATCCTGCAGACGCTCAGTTGGAGCTATATCTAGCTATAGCTAGATGTGACGCAAAATTCTAGGGGGGGAATAAACTAGAATTTTGCGTCACATCATTTTTATAAATTAATTTCATGATACGCCATGAAAACATTGGTTTTTTTTCACGATGGGAAATGTTCCAAATATTCTATAGGCCCAAGGTAAATTGGCATTGTAGGGTTAATAAAAGGGATAGGAAATATATATCGTTAGTTGGAAATGGTTCTAAGTAGACTTTTGTATGTTTGTGTTATTTTATTTTTAATATTTGTTAAACCTAGGCCCAAGTGATAAACTTTTGCACAAGTGGTGACAAATAGTACCAATTATCAGCACAAAGTATCAGTTTCTAATGTTTACCAATTCAGGATTACAGCCGTTAAAATGTTGTATCTTAAGATCTATCTTTGATCTTAAAGATCTGATAAGTTATTCTACTAAAAAAACTGTTATGGATAGGCCTAGCCTATATATTTTTTTATGAAATGTTATATGACTAATCCAACAATTCTTTAAATGTAAAAATTTGCTCACTAAACAACTAAGATATTCTAATTTTAGTGAGAGAATCCATTTCTCAGAACTAGTTCCTGACCAGCGCAACAATGGGTACAAATTATAACATCATATAATTAATATACATGGTATCGCAAACATTGTAATATATTTTTGATGAAATAGTCATGCCTAGTAAAAATTTCTCTAAAACGCGTACCGCTACTCTTCTAGTTCTAACAATCACATAAGACCACACGCCTTCCTATCCAACTTTTTGAAACAACTGAAGCATGGTTGGCCATCTTGCAACAGACAAGATATTCAGGATATTTTCATGGTTTAATTTATTCTACGTTAGTTATAAAAAAATAAATGTTTTTTAGCTCTTTTTACAACTTAATATGACAGTCTGTCAGAATTTAAAAGAGGGTGTTTTTTAGGGTTTCATAAACCATCTAATGACTTGGTAATGAATGGAAATTTTCACAAGAACTTGATCAAACTTTAATAGAACATTTTACAAACATACTTTATAAATTTATTTGTAGGTTTCCAGAACTTTAGCTTCGCCCAAAAAATGTTAATGTAAATTAAGTATTTTTCAAAAGATGGCAAGGGCTATAGAGATAGTTTTAAAAGCTTGTTTTGAAGGTAATTGTCTTAGTTATAGGAATATTCATAATGCCAAGGCATATTTCTACACATAGTATTGATATCAATAACACTTTATTAGTAGGGCCTAGTGCTGGCCGGGCTGGCCCCTAGGACTCGTAACGGCCAGAAGCTTTCATCTTGCTATAGACTTGTCAAAAACCAGTGCTTCACCTAATTTTCTCTTACATTGTAACACCCTATAACTCCAAAACGAATACTAAAAGAGAAAAAATATCTAGAATAAGAACGTCATAAAAACACACTTACATTCTAAAACAATCATAAAATACAGGGTGTTCCATAATAATATTAATGTGTCGGCCATATTGGAAAATGGTGTTTATATGTTTATATCATGTTTTGACCTAAGGAACAAATATACAAAATCATTCCCAGGCATTTCTTTTCATGCTGTATAACATATTGAGTATTCAGTTGATTTTATCTTTGTATTTTTTTTTTCTTTACAGATGATGCAAGGATTTGATTTAGAGAATGAAGACTAAGAGTTTTTGAGAAGCATTGTGTCATTATATATTGTTGAGTTTTGCCAGTGACACTAAGTCAAACTAAAGACTTAAGAGAACTAAGAGTAGTGTTATTGTGTTATTTATATTTTGTTAAGTTTTATCAGTTACACTATTTCACATAAAAGTGACTGACTAAAATGAATAAGAATAAGTGCAGTGCACTAAACTGGTAATTGTTTACTTGAGCTCCTAACAATGAAGGCTGGAGAATCTAAGGTACTGCAAGTATGTGAGTAACCTTGAGTTGTGCAGTGGTGTAATTCAGATTACTTCAATATTGATTTTCAGTTTACCATTCATAGCTTAGTAAAAAAGTAAAATTCCATTCTTTTGACATAAATAATGTAAAATATGTGTCATGTTAAAATCATTAGTTATCATGAATATTTGACAAACCATTGTAAAATAGGATAGAAGACTGAAACAGTTTGACTATTGAACGGTTCTATAGGAGCTAAGATGTTAAAACCACTTCATGGTAATGTATTTCAATTTAATGTGACTTCAATGTACCTTTCTGTAAAGTAAGCCACATATATTTCCAGTTCATGTTATTGTTAGTGTGCCTTAAATACCTCAGGTTTTGTCCTAATACTTGTTTATAGAGTTATTTGTGTTTGAGTAGACTTAGATTTTTTTACCGATACCGAGTTTAGGTTATTTTTTTATTAAGAAAAAGTGTTGGGCCAGAAAGTAAATTTTAACATCTTTTTACGTGTCTATTATGGGTCCTGAAGTAGTGTTTATGACAAATGGTTATTCCATTGAACTAAGAAGACTAATTGTGCTAATTTAAATCACCCAAATCACATAGCTTTAACGGTCAACTACTCAATGAGGTACAAGAATTAGTTGTGCATATTGACCAAAATACACAAACACAGTACCATATCGCTCTACTAGAGTTGCAGTGGGAACCAAACTTTCCCTACTGCACAACAAACGATCAAATACCCATAAAGTTATTTGTATAAGTTAAAGCATAAATCTTATTTTCAAATCTAAAAATGTTTTTAAACTCAATCGGTGACTTATTTATTTATTATCCTTATTAATAATAATTAATTAAATGTTATCGCACTTAAATTTTAGGCTATTCAATATTTTGCTTGGCCCAACGACTTTTTGTGTGAACGGTACAATTGTTCATATACCTCATACTGTTATTCTGTACTGATTACTGGATTAGTATTTTCCTAGAGGAAATTAATTTAATTGATGTGGTCAGTTAAAGTATGTTCCTGAACTTTTAGTTTAAATTACATTCTATTAATTGAGGTTTGATTTCTTTGTCTACTATGAAACCAACAATTGATTGTTTATAAGGAATCAATTTTAGTAATTTGGTTTCTTTGTATTTTTACATTTTTTACTGACATAATTTTGAATAACACAATGCAGTTTTATACTTGTTTTGTAAATAAAAGATTATTAAAAAAACTTGTCTTATTCTTTATTCAATTCCTTTTTCAATTTTTATTTATTCAGAAAAAGAAAAATTACATATAGTTTTTTACATAAAATACTCTGAAATATGGTCCCTGCGAAGCAAAGCTTGAGTGCCAGGACCGAGTCGCTAACATCAAGTGAAAATTCTATATAATAACAAATACATAGATATATCAATTACATTAAATTGTGACATAAATAACTTTTACGCCACACTACATTATTTTGACGAACTTCCTACGCAAGGATTTAGTCCAGAAAACAGCTGTTTGCCGCCAGCTTATTCAAATGGGGTTTCATTGCGTACTACTGTACTGTAATGAGTTTTACTGGACACCAATCAGCTGATTATACTGTATTTATGTGACAATGAATGGTTATAAACAAAAACATAACCTCTCTTATGACTAGTGATTTTTAGTCCTTTAGTTGGTGGAAATATATAAGGATTCGTACAGATTTATTAGTATGGCGTAAACTATCGTACGTAACTTGTCCAAAATGTGTACCGGACTCAAATGGTAATCCCATACTCGACTTCGTCTCGCACGGGAACGACCACACTCGTCCGGTAAACACTTATTTTCAGGACTAGTGTGTTATCAATATTATAATTCTAATAGATAAATTACTACATCTAAATAATAAAATGGCAAGGTAATGTAAATATGAGATTCAATCATCATGATGAACAACAACTTTTAATCTGAATAGGCCTAATAATATGACAAGATATTCAACCAATATACAAAAGGGCAATACGTCAAAAAAAAGGATCGAGCTGTGGGAAAGTATGAAGATTTATGCTATTGAAATAATCAGCAACAGGAAACTGGCGTTCGCACATACACACGCACGCACGCATTCCGTAATACTCACATGCACACATACGTACTCCTACCTTATCACTCCACATTTCCCTCTCATTCAGACTGACCGGCTTGCATTATTGGCCGTAGTTGGAGACGATTAAAGATTTAATCTCTTTCTGATCAATACTAACTAACCAGCTATTCACAGTTTTTTTATAGGAGCCAATACTATAGTGAAATGGAAATTTTAACCTATCAAGTAATTTGAAAATATGTAGTTAGCAATATAAAAAGCACAAGTACAGTTTATAGTTTTATTCAATCTGGTAACGACAATACCAGTATTAAGAGCATACCGCGTGAAATGGTTATGGTTGGTGTTAGAAAAATTGTCGGCTTTATTTTTGAATAATATGTATGTATATAGGATGAGGGCTCTAACAAATAATTTGGAAATATTAAAAACTTTAAATTCGTCAATTGTGTGAAAGAGATAACTTCTCACACTGACATAAATAAATGACTGATAATATTAAAACCCAATTCAACATAATTTTTTATAAACAACCAACATTAAAACAAATTAAACTCCAAACACCAATACAAACATGAATATTAGATTAATTAGAACATTTAGTGGTCAAAATTTCATTGTGATTAGCAAATATTGATATGAAACTGAATTGTACACCAGTAATAGTACTTATGCCTTTTGAAGTTCAGAATACAATTTACTTGTTTCATTACTGTTAATGGTGATGTTTGCTCTGTTGCTACGAGCTTGTGTGGAAACAGTGTTAAAAACAATAATAATGACCCAAAAAAATCCAGCAGTTTCAAAAATAAAACTGCCAAAATCTTCAATCTCAAAATCTTCGATCTTGGTTTGTGATTTGAGATTCGGTTGTGACAAATCACTACATTTACACTACGTCTATTGAGTTTAATGGTGATTAAATTCACCAATCAAAATAGATCATAACTTATATATCGTCCTATAAGTAAACAATATATATGTGTTTCAAAAGTTGTTATTGGACATATTTTTTATTTATTTTTCGTAAGTAAAACTCGTAAAATTCACAAAAAAATAAATATAGGTTTTTCAATCCCGTTAATCTGGGAATTTCTAGGTATCAAAAACTAACTGGGATCCTGGGATTGAGACCCCTATGCAGATGCCTCACAAAGATTTAAAGATATGCAGTTTAAATTAAATACGTTGAAAGATGAGGCAGAGGCTGCAGGACTAAAGATGAATATCCACAAAACAAAAGTTTTTGAGAATAAATGCAGAGAACAGATAGCCATTTTGGACATTGAAGGTCAAATCATAGAAAGAAGACGTTGACTCGTTCACATACCTGGGAAGTATTGTGTCCAAGAGGGGTGGGACTGAAAAGACATGAAGACACGCATTAGGAAAGCCAATGTTGCTTTCGTGCAGTTGTACCCTGCGTGGCACAATCACAAAATACCCCCGCCGCTGCAAACCTGCAGACTAAGCGAATTTCATTTGCCTGATTGGATTTTCACTAAAATATCTCTTTAAAATGTCACATTTGTTTGTTCCCTATTTAAATAACTATAGTTTAACGAGTGCTTAGGTATGCTGCTACAGCAGGGACGGTAATAAAGTGTTTTTATAGTTAAATGTTGATAGTATAATGTGAAATTTAAAAAATTTCCAAATCTGATCAAAATATGTTTATAAACAAGTAAACTACAAGAGTTAACTTCACTCTTCTCCATAAGAATAACATGGATTTACAGATTTTTGGAATTTTCTCCTTAATCATTAGGCACATTACAACGTTTCAATATACAAAATTATTTGTTTTTTAATCTAAACAAAATGTTTTAGAAAGAAATAATTTCAAAATGTTATGTTTTAGGGTCAAAAATGGGAAACCCCCGTTTCCATAGTCAGATAATGCTGGTTCAGAAACTAGTTTGAATAAAATGTAGGTGTGATTGTAGGACATTTGTTTTTATCATTTTTTTTTGTAAAGAATTTAATTTTATAATAAATTTAAACATTCACTTTGTAAATGATTTTCAATCAACCAAGCAATTATTAAATAAGAAGTTACAGCAGTAGGTTGCTGAATGTAAGCAGTTTTGTGCTGCTTCTTGCATTCAGTAAGTTCAATATCCAACAAATTGCTGATCATGGCCTTACCCTCTCTCTTTGTAGCTAAATTGTAAAATATGTACCATCAGTGGTAGCGTTTGACTATACAGCACTGCCATTCTTCGAACATCTGATCCTGCCTCCTTACCCAATTTCGCACTCTCACAGAACACTCCACTACAATATTTTTTTTCTTCCCAGCTGATTTATTATCCTTACTTATGTCGCACCTCAAACCCCTGTTTCAACTGTTTCCCCTCAATTTCACTTCCTTGCATATTCCTATTGAAGACTTCTTCTTTGACCTCGTTTTCTGTTCTTCGTCGGCTTCTCAACTTTTAATCCCACATTCGCCAGAGATTTCTCTTTTGTCAGATTTTCTGTTCCTTCAATCTCTGCTTCAACGATTACTCCATTCCAGATGTTAAATATCCTTCTAATCTTTAATCCTATTTCCTGCGGTTTCACTAACCTCTTGAGGGTTCTGAGAACTCTGGCGCTCTCCTTTTTTTCAACTCCTTCCGGATAAGTTAGGTTGCTTACCAGGCGCACATCTTCTCTAGGACCTTTCCCAGATTCTTTAGTGCCATACTGCTAGATGCTGAACCTCCTGCCAGCTCTGATGCCACAACCCAGCTACTCATTCTTCTCTGCTTATTCTGATATCGTGCAAAGAACTCCTTTTCCGCTGCAATCCTATCCAAATCTGCATTTCATGCCTCCTCACTACTTGCCTTCTCCAGAAATCTTCTCTGTGTATTTGATGCTCTCTCGATACTATAAAATTAATAAATTAATCAACTTCTGCTAGAACAAATTCTAGCAATGAACACTTCCCAACAGTCAGCCTGCAACCTGAAACAAAAAAACAATATTATTCATGTCTTGGGTTTTTGACCCCGGTTCATGGGAGTCGTTTACCAATGACTCCATCATCGTCCACCAGACCATACCCTACAATTCACCAATCGGGATAAACCTTTTTGGACACCGAATGCCCACCCAACACAGTTGCAAGCACATCCTTATGCCTATGGCTCTTGAGTCAGTTTCCGACAACATTGGATTACCGCTTTCAGGTGGCAAGACAACTTAGGCCCGGTTCACACGAGCAACTTATCTAGCCGACTAGGTTGTGATTAGGTAAACCCGACTGGGT